ACAGGCACAGGCACAGGCACAGGCACAGGCACAGGTACAGGCACAGGTACAGGTACAGGCACAGGTACAGGTACAGGCATAGGCACAGGTACAGGCACAGGCACAGGCACAGGTATATGGAGTTAGTATGCATACACAGGAGCTAGGGATTGGTAGATTTTAGAGGTAGAGAATACAAGATAACAGAAAAGCTTAGATAAATGTGGAAGAAAATGTCCCCGCAGCACTGTTTGGCGAGGAGGGTCTGCGTTAGGGCCCTTCCCAGCTGACACTGGCTCACACCCTGCCGCCTCTCGCCCGGGTGACCCGATCTCCTATGTGGGCGCCTGTCTCGCCCCTTCCCTGCCCCTCCGCTTGCTTGTTCCCTCCGCCCACCCTCTTCATTCATTTTATCATTATTTTTAACCAGCAGCATATTCTGGGTGTTACTTACTGACCGAGTCCGATTAACATTATTGTATTTAAAGCTTTAACTTTATGCGGTAGGAACTGTTGTTGCTTTGACTCTACAGGTGACACTGTAGGCTCGCTCGGTTAATGAGGGGTAGAGGCAGTAACTGAGCCTGGATCGTTTAAATTTCAGTTTCATATCCAAATCCAAAGTTGAAATTACTTTTTAATCTCTTCTGGGAAATTAAATAAGCTGCCTGAAACTCAGTTTTCTCACTTATAAAGTGGGAGTAGTAATTCTTAGTTGCAAGTAACGGTTATAGAAAAATAAATGAGCCCAGTTGGCGTGGCTCGGCGGTTGAGCATCAGCCTAGGATCCAGGAGATCGCGGTTCAATTCCCGGTCAGGGCACATGCCCGGGTTGCGGGCTCGATCCCCAGCAGTGGGTGTGCAGGAAGCAGCCCAGCAATGACTCTCATCATTGATATTTCTCTCTCTCTTCCTGTCTCTGAAATCAATAAACATATTTTTTAAAAAAAAGAAAAATAAATAAGAGCAGGACGGTGCTGTTTCATTCACCCACAGCAGTTTGAGAGCCTTTAAACACTTTCGTCTCGTGTAGCCCTGACTCGGCTGCGTTGTGTCCCTGGTGTCTGCTCTGTGGCTACTCTCCCCTGAAGAGGCTGAGTCGACGCGACCTTCTCGGGGCACTGTCGCCGAATAATCTGGCCGGGAATCCTGATGGGCTCACTCCTTGCTTTCCCTCCCCGCGCATAGACAGTCTGATATTTTTTGTCCTCATTTCATTTTGGGGTGACCTATTCCCTGCATTAGATTTTATTTGATTCTTTGTTTCATAGAGACTAGTCATTTTCTTCATGCGACAGGAGAGGATGTCAAATAACATACGTCGTTTTCTTTTTTTCACACCAGTTTGCAGTTGAATGAAACGTGTGCTCAAGAAAAAATCACATCCATCGTTACGCAGCACATCCCTGATGCCAAATTATCAGCAGCAAGTGAAGGAAGGCTTGTCTATACATTGCCTTTGGAGAGAACAAATAAATTTCCAGGTACTGTGCGTGAGCATCCTGAAATGAAATACACAAATATTATTCGTAATAACAGTATCAGTGATAATTATTATAACTAACATTACTGAGAGCTTACGGTGTGCTCAGGTTTTTAAACCATGATGCACAAGAACTAGATTTTTTCGCCCACGGTGGGAAATACTCTGTCCTCATTGTTGCCCTATGCCTGGGCACTCTAAGGAGTGTTTTCAGTTCATTCCCTTTGCAGCGTGCCGCAGAATGTTCTGGTATTCACCACCGGGCAGGAACCCAAATGGCTTAACCCTTATGTGAAACAGCCCCGTGATGGGGCTTGTTCTTCTCCTAACAAGGCCTTTGTGAGAACTCCGGGGCTTGGGGCCAGCACATCGTTTGCTTTCACGGCTGTTCTGAATTATCCGTTGGCTGAGTCATAGAGCTCGTTTCCCGAGGGCCGGTCTCTGGAGCTTTACCTGGCCCTTCGTTTGGAGCTCCCGGGGCGGACGCGTGTTCACAGCCCTTGCCGTCTCTGTGCCCGTCTGCACACAGGCAAGGCGGGCGCCCCTGTCTTCACGGCGGGCTCCGCGCGAGGGGTCCCCCGTCAGCCGGGTGGGGGACTCGAAGGGCCTCTCTCAACTCTTCGGTTCCCCCGGGAGAAGCAGGGAGCTGCGATCTGTGTCAGGTCCCTCGGGGTGAGCCGGGGGGTGATCGCGTGATCACGGTGGCGATGGCACCGTTCTCGATCCTGATTGTATCAGTGTTAATCCCCTGGTTGTGATATTATACTGTGGCTTTTTAAAACATTATCAGAGTATACAGATCTCTCTGTATTATTTTTTACAACTGCATGTGAATTTAAAATGATCTCAAAGTAGTTTAATTTAAAAAGAAATAATTACTAGCTTTGTTTATCACTTAGGGAATCTGCTCCCTGGTGACGGGGCCCGGCGAGGGCCTGCGCTGAAGGGTGGAAATAATTAACCTTACCCTGCGTGTGGGCAACAGAGACACAAAATTACCCTCCCAAAGTCATTCAAATACGCATTTCATGGTGACAGCACAAGTGTTTCTTAGAGCCATCAGGCAAAGTGTTAATCAAACCCTAATTGATGTTTTCATAAGAGTTATAATTTAGAGGTTTGTATAATTTTAGAGAAACAGAAGAATGACTCGTAATACTCATTTGCAGTTTAAATCTTATTTCTCTATGTTTCTGTATACGAAACTCTAATCCGCACAGAAAAGCTTTTATATAGATTTGACTTTGGGTGGTGGGCGCACAATGCAATATACCGATGATGTATCGTGGAATTGTGCACTTGAAACCTATGTAATTTTATTAATCAATGTCACCCCAATTAATTTAAGTAAAAAAACAAACAGAAGGCCTGGGGTAGAACAAGAGCCTAGTAGAGGGGGGCAGGGAAGAAATGGGGGACATCTGTAATACTCTCAACAATAAAAATAAATTTAAAAAAACAAAACAAACACCAGACAGAAAGCTTTTAATGTCTCTTTTTGCCCAGGGATAGCTCCAGGTTGAAGCCACAGGAGCTCTGTAATCACACTAGGGTTTAAAATTGGGCTTTTATTTAAGCTTCATTTAATTAAAAGTTATAATTCAAATTCATACTGACGGGACATTGCTCCTTGTTTTAAGAACAGTGATGGATGCAGAACTATTATTGGGGGATGAACTAAAGAGTGAGTGCTACAGAACTGCCGCGGTTCCCTCTGTTCCAGGAGGATCCTGGGCCCGTCCCTCATTCTCTGTCCATGCGGGCTTGGGAATTTCTCTTCCAGAGTCAAAAGAAGAAATCTTTTAAAAACGATTTGTAAACTGGGTACTTCCTTGGACAGATATTTTCTGAAATAAAGAAGGTTCTACACAATCCAACTAATTCTCAAAAATCACTTCAATCCCTTTTGTTGGCTCCTATTTGTACCTGTTCTCTGCAGAAGATTCTTCAATTAATTAGGCTTGGGGTCGGAAGAAATCTGAAGTTCTGTTGCTCGTTAAATTTCAAAAGCAAGTCAGAAAATAACTAAAATGAAATTTTAATGCAAATACAAATAAATATAAATTCATATTTGATCAAAAGAAGTTAATGTATGGGCTGTAACACAATATGAAATGTAAAAGGAATGTATGGATTTAGAGAATGTTCCTTATCATAAAATGTCAGTTTTTAATGACGTATCCCAAGTATAATTTGATATACTTGCTCTTTTCAGTTTGCAAAGTTGTCCTCAGTTTGATTTTGATTTCTGTTTTTTGATTTGCTGCTGTGTATGTGTGTTTTTCAAGAGCTTTATGAGAATCTCGATCTCTGTCCTGATCTGGGAATTGAGAATTACGGTGTTTCCATGACCACCTTGAATGAGGTGTTCCTGAAACTAGAAGGAAAATCAACTATCGACGAACCAGGTAAGTAAAATGCATGCAAAGTATCGTGTAAATGTATTCATAACACCTAGTGCAGCATATACTTCAAGAAGACACCATTTCAGGCCCTGGCTGAGTAGTTCAGTGGGTTAGAGCTTCATCCCCATGAACCCAAAGTGCAGGTTCGAGCCCCAGTCGGGGCACATACAAGAATCAACCAATGGAAATGCATCAATAATCCCAACAACAAATCGATGCCCCCCTCCTTCCTCCCTCTCTCTAAATCAGTCAATCAATGAAAAAGAAGACACCCTTCCAATGGCATGATTGCAGCATGTAGGTTTCCATGATTAAGGCCCTTCTCGGACAAGTACACATTAAGGCGAATGCCTCCCTGTCACATTTGTCGCCTCCACTGCCAGTATTGCCTTGATATTAAGGATGGCCCACTTCCTTCTACCCGAGGCTCAGAGCCCTCATCGGATCCCATTTTCCAGCAGCAATTGCAGACGAAACACTTGCTCTAAATCTCTCTCCAAGCGCTTTCAGGGTGTCACCATCCCGCGGGCCTCCCTGGTTGCTGGTGAGAAGCCAGCTCTATTTCTTTGTGTGATGAGTTGTGTCTCTCCTGCCGCTTCCAAGACTCTCTTTCTGTCTTTGGCTTCAGCTACGATGTGTTCAGGCGTGGGCCTCCTTCCGTTTACCCTCCGTGGTATTTGCTGAGCTTCCTACATGTATAGATTAGAGAGTTTCATCACATTTTGGAAGACTTTAGCCACTATTTCTTGAACGATGCTTTCTGTCCCCTTCTCTCTGTACTGTCTTTCTAGAACTCCCCTTATTGCACGTGGTGGTATATGTTGGCATGCTTGATAGTGTCTCATATGTCTCTGAAACTTCATTTTTTTAAAAAAATATGTTTTTATTGATTTCAGAGAGAGGAAGGGAGAGAGAGATAGAAACATGAATGATGAGAGTCCTTGATCAGCTGCCTCCTGCACGCCCCCTACTAGGGATCAAGCCTGAAACCCAACCATGTGCCCCAACTGGGAATCGAACCCTGACCTCCTGGTTCGTGGGTCAACACTCAACCACCGGGCCACGCCGGCTGGACTGAAACTTCATTTTTTAAATTTACAGTTAACCCCCAGTTTGTAGCATGTCAATTTGTAGCTTCTTTCTCTAGGTGAACACCTAAGATAATTCCTTTATCCAGTTTCTAAGTCACATCTAGATACTATGACGATCCTGCATACTTATCTTAACCTCTTTAATGTATTCTGTATCCGAATTATCTAAGATCTTCTTTCTAGTCTTTTTTGTTCAAGAAATGAATCTTCCCTCTATTTTTCTAGTTCATGGCAACAGCCAGCAATAGCACACAACGCCTACAGTATGGGAAGACGTTATCTGTGGCATCCTTGGTATAACAGGTGCCTATAGTAAGCTCAATAAAGTCCATGTGAAGTGAGAACTTCTGCGTTACTTATTTTGTGTGTTGCAGATATTGCCACATCTGGAGAAGCACAAGCAGAAGGAGCTGCAGACACAGACGGGCTTGTTGAGATGGAAAAACTTCTCTCTTCACTTAGTGAGACGAGAGAAACAGTAGGTGGCATGGCTCTGTGGGGACAGCAAATCCTTGCAATTGCAAGGGTCCGCCTGTTAAAGCTAAAGCATGAAAGGAAAGCTCTTTTATCACTGTGAGTATCAGAGCACCATAGCTCTTGTTTAGTCATTGCATTCTTAAAAATTAAGGTCTAAAACCACGAGAAAACAAACAAAAATAAATAAATTTCTGTATTTACAAAACTCGATAAAGTATAATACTCAGTCTAGTTCATGGCCCTAGTTTTTATCTACTGGCAGGTGGAATTTATAATGTCTCAGAGCCAATTATAGTGGAAAAGTTAAAGTAATGTAAGTTCTCCTGTATTATTTGCTCTCCTTTAGATTGTCTGTGGCAGGTGACAGAAACATTGGGATGTAGATCTTTATTTCCCAGTATTCACAGGTTAATGTCTCATTTTAGTCGGTATCTAATCAAGTGACCGACTCTTCCCTGGAAGTCCTGACTCCCCCATTACGTCCCACTTGCTCTAACCTACATGTCGTAACTTCCCTCCAGCCCTCCTAAGTGATGGTAGCTCAGTCCCCATACCTACTGTGTGCATAACAGGCGTTATCCCTGCTCCTAAGAATCATGTCACCTCTCATTAGCACCCTAGTGCCCACAGTATTTTGGCTATGGATTGGGGCCTCGTCTGTGAATACGTTGATGAAGCGTCGAAGAAATAGGGGAGTTGGCGCATAATAGAATCTCCATAAGTACTTGCTAAATAAATAACAAGAATTCACTGAAAATCCTTGACTAGGAGATCAGCCTGATTTTGTTAAAAAGTCTTTAAGCCTCACCCGGCAACACTGGATAACAGCATCTCAAGAGATGCCCGTCCTTTCGCAAGGATGGTGAAAAGATATCTTGTAAAACTAGAAATTAGGCGTGGAGAAAGGTTCCACAATAAGATCTAACGAAAATATAATTTTAAATTTTTTAACTTATTTGAAATGGAGAACTCAGGAAAATAAAGAGTAAAATACAGTTGAACATTTAGGCCCGGAGATTCGAGAAACCATGCAGTCATCACTAAGAAAAATAGGGACTATGAAGAAAACTGAGTATAAAGTGCCTGCGAATAACAGGGCCCCGGATCCCGGGAAGCGGCGGGGCCTGGGCGCGCCGTCGGAGGGCGGGGGCGGGTTCCCTGGAGACTGCGAGGCGCTCTGGCCAGGGAGGGACAGGGGAAGCGCCCAGAAGGCTAAGTGTCCGTTTTGCCATCTCGCGTTTAGCGGTCGGGAGAGGACAGATTGCTTAATAAGTGGTGGGGAGAGCGGTCGTTCACTTTTCCCAGCGCCGACCTCTTTCAGGTAGCACCCGCCTAGACACTGTGAGAAGGCTGGTAAACGGCTGAGCATTCACACCCGGCAATGTTCTTCTGCGTAGGCTATTGATTCTAGGAATTGGATTTTTTCCTATTCTGATACAGTACATCACCTGGAAAATATACGAAATAAATTACACTTTGGAACTTGCTCCTCACTTATACTTCCTGGCTCCTGGGCAACCACCACGGGATCCTCTCACTCAGTTACTAGTCATCAATCATACAGGTAATAAAACGGGGGCATACGTTGTAAAGGTACCTGCAGGTTTTTGCCACAGATTCTTAGTGTTCTTGCCCAGATTTAATAGATTTTCTTAAATAAGGTTTTTATTTTTCATTTTCTATATGCCTTTAAGACAATCAAAAGATTTTAACTTGTTGGGTTGTGTGTTTTTTTAAGTAATTTTTATAAGTTATGGTTGTTTTCTGGGAAGAAGGTCCATGGAGCTCTTTCCGTAGCTACTCAATAAGTTGTCTTCTTATATCAAGATACACTTTGAAAATCAATTAATAATCTAGCGGTAGTGAAATGAGATTTAGCAAATTTGGTGGTTAACTAACAGAAATTATCTGTGTCATTAAAACTGTATTGGTATGGCTACTCATGGAAATCTTCTAGAAAAAAATATCTGTTCCAAATGCACCATATGGCAGTGATCATAAATGAATAAATATGTTATAAAGTAAACTCCATAGAAGTGAGTAGATTTTTTAATTCACAGTAGCAGACATGTTCTCATGTGGAAAAACATCCTCACAGTTTATATTACAGTAAGTATGCCACAAGGTCATTCATTTTAACTTCGCTGCACAACTTGATGTTGATTTTCTTAGTTTTGAGATACCTAACACATTTAACTACAATTTAGGGGCAAGCATTGACGACTTTATACATTCCGTGGAGCATCAGAACATAGCTTTGGAAGTGGATGCATCTGGAAGTAGAAATGGCCTAGATGACCCATCTTACAACGGAGCCATCATAGTGTCTGGTCAGGGAAAGGTATGCTGGTCTCTATTAAATAATCTTTATTTAATAGATTAAATAACGGTGTGCAAAACTAATAAACTATTTACACTCGGGCCTTCAACTTAGGAAGCAAAATTAAAAACAAACACTGCTTTTATTTATTACTTAGTTAATTGTAGTCATTAGTATGATAAATAATTCATATATCAATCACTGTCTACCAACGCAAACTGTGTGCATTAGCAAAATAAACACTGTACGCTACCCACGGTCAAGAGCATATTTACATCCAAAGACTATGTATTTCCTCTCAAGGATTTTCGAATGCACATATGCTGAAACTGAAACTTCTGCTTTATTCTTAAACAATAATAATATTTGATTCTAGCCTTAAGCCACATACCTGATAGCCTAGGTACATGTTTTGGTTTACCGACGCAGTGCTTGTTTTTGTTCTGATTATTTAACGCCATCTTAAAAACATGATTTTTTAATTAAAATATTGAATTTTGACCTCTTTAGAAAAAATAAAAATAAAAAATGAAGATCTCTGAGAATGTCTAACCTTGCCTTTTGTATTTTAGAATTACAGATTTTCATTAACGTGCAATACCAAAAGACTGAACTGCTTCCCCGTTCTTGTGGATATTGTCAGTAACGGGCTACTCAGGATGGTTAAACCCTCCGCACGCATCCAAACTCACAGAACTATCCTTTTCCCGGTAGGTATCTACTCTCAGGACTCTCCTCCCCCAGGAATCTCCCGGGTGGCTCTTTCCAGTGCTGGAATTTTATTCTTATTGAGTAAACCACTGCGGGGTAAATCAGCATTTGGATTCGTGCTAGTTCTGTGGCTTTGGGAAATCAACGTGATTTTCAGAGCTTCAATATTTTTTAATGCAAAATAGAACTAACAAAATATATTTTCAAAGAGAATGTGAGGAAATGAAAGTGAAATCTTGCAGCACTGCGACTAACACAAGAAGGAAGGAAGGCAGGAAGGCCGGAAGGGAGGGGGAGAGGGAG